TCTTATAGTGCTCGAGTATCATATCCCAAGCTTAATAAATTATTATTTTGCTAATACGATTTTACTAGCTAAATCGATGCTCTACTAGAAGAAGAAGGTTTTTTCTAACATTTCTTCCAGTAAAAGTAACTAAATAACTTATTGTCTAGGTCTAGGCAATTGACCTACTTATTAACGATTAAAAAATAATTTACCTGTGGCTACAAGATTCGAAGTAAAAATTTTGTAACATTATCTAGATACTTTGTTAACGCGTAGTAATCATAGTTCTCGCGCAGACGTGTGAGGTACATATCCATTTTGTATCCAATATTGCAATACGAAGGTTGCCATAAGTGTTATATTATGTCACTAATATAATAATAACCAACAAAGTTTTGACTGTGTGTTGTATATACAAACAACACTGTAATATAGAGAAAACTCAGTATACAAGGTGATTTCACTTTAAATACAGAAACTGCAGGACTAGGTTCATTTCCGAAAAATAAGTAGAGTTTGCTCTATAAACTTTTTTCCTGCGGGACTCGGTATTCAAGATACAGGGTGCTACAGTTTACAAAAAAATATATTTTTTCTGCCATATCGTCATAACGTGCTACTGGATGTGCCGTCTCATTTTCCCAAGAAAAAAATACGCCCCGGCGATTTCTTATAGAAATAATGTTATATTAAATTTTTTTAATAGTAACAGCCGTTTAGGAGATGTTTGGGTTTGTTTTTACGTTTTATTGGATTTTACTAATAAATTAATCCGTTTATTTGATGAAAACCTCCTGCTTTTAACCAGTGACGTGCTACTAAAGCATCCGCCAACTTTTCCCAAGAAATGAATACGCCACTGACGGTTTGTTTGTAGAAATAATTTTATTTCTGGAAAAAATGTCTAACTAAATAATAGAATAACATTAGCAAATATATCGAGTAAGTAATTAAGTAACGGCTCCTACATTTGTTCAAAACGAAGTCCTTCCGCATTGATACATTTTTGACATCTTCTAATCAGGCTATTTATAGAGGAACTTATCATGACATGATTTTCCCTGACGAGATTACAATTTTCCTCTTTTATTTACCACAATTCGTCTCGTGTCCATAAGCTCAAGAAGGACTGCAGCTTCAGGAATAAATAAACAAAGCTAGTTATAATACTAAAACGAGATCATCGTAAAGCTTACTAACTCATAATGTAGACAATAGAATCAATTTTTGCAGATGGATTTTAAACAAATATGAGTAGGTACCTAGGTATGCGGATTAAGTTTGCGTATTTGCGTCTGCAAATAAGTAAATTATCTCCTAAACGGCTGATACTATTAAAAAAACACCAAGAAACACTTTTCACTTAACAGTACTTGAATTTGACATTATTTCTACAAAAAACCGCCAGTAGCGTATTTTTTTCTTGGGAAAACGGAGCGCCACGTTCAGTAGCACGCCACTGGTTAACGGCACGAGGTTAATATTACATTAAATAAAAGGTCTAATTAAGTAAATACGCTGTAGTAAATTTCATTCAAATCGTTCAACGCAATATGTAGATAAGACAGAAAATATATATATTTTTTTGGAAACTTGAACACCTTGTATCTCAAATACCTACCATGTTCCCCAGGAAAAAAATGTATAGAGCGAATTCCACTTATTTTTTAGCAACTATTTAAAGTGAAATACCCTGTATTATGTGTAGAAATGTAGTGTTCATAAGTTAATACATTGGTTTACAGTTTTTATTTCATATTTAAAAAGTTATAAGTAAAAAGCAAGGGATGGTGAGACTGTCCAAATATAGACGATGAAGGAAAAGTTTTAAGACAATTATTCAATAACTGAATCTAGCTATTTATGTAAAGAGAATCGCATATTGGTGTCAAAAAAGTCACTTATTTGAAATAAAAAACTGGTACTGTCATAAAATTCGTCATCCTGGAATGACAACATAACAGTCACGGTAAAAACTTTTGCTAAAATACGAAATTGTAGGTACTATAGTAGGTATAGTTACTAATAAGAACATGAAATTCTTCTCCACATTTAGCAAAATATATGAAAAAGAAGTGAATGTTGTATTTAGAGATACCTATAAACAAACTTGTTTTTTTTTAATTGGAACAATCTATATTTTTGCCGTTTTTGGAATCCTCTTTTTCTGATTATATATCCACTTTGACAGTTTGCACAATATGTTAGTTCATTTATTGACTCACCAAAATGGATATATTAGTCAATGTGGGCATGGAACCAAAGTAATGGCAGAAATAATATTTCTATATGTGACTGTTTAAAACTGAATCAAACTATGTACTTTCTTGGTCATTTTTCACAATGATGTTCCAGAGAGACACACTCAGGTAGAAACTGTCAAACTAGTTTAGGGAACAACGAATGCATTTTGACACAAGCCAATTAGTTTGGCATCAATTGTTATTTCTAAACTCTTATTGCATGGCGCTTATACAGGGTGTCCCGAAATTCATGCAACAAAATTTGGTCACAGATTCTTAAGACAAATTTAGGGGACCCGTATTTTTTATTTTTGCCAAGTGGCCCCCTCTTTCGGAGTTACAGCCCCCTGAAGTCCGCCCCCAAAAATAATCTTTTTTTTATATCTCAGAACCCTGTTGTACGAGAATCACTAAATTTGGTACACAGAGGTTTTATGACATGTGGAATCTGATGGTGCTACGTTTTTTTGGCGGGGAACCCCCTTAAGACAATTTTTCGTGGGTCCCCTTGTCTTTGGAGCCAAAAAATTTGGTGGTATATTTAAATTTCTTAAAAATTATCAGTCCACTAGAAAGCCATTAAATTTAGAAACTTTTTGTCTCTTTATATTTTTTTCGTAAAACGCAATGTTTTCGAGAAAAATGTCAAAATGTGATCAAATGCATATCGTGATTCGCCATTTTCCTCAAAAACATTGCGTTTTTCGAAACAAATATCAAGAAACAAAAAAGTTTCTGAATTCAATGACTTTCTAGCTAATTAATAATTAAAAAAAAAATCAAATTTGCGACCAAAATTTTTTTGGTTCCAAAGAGAAGGGGGCCACAAAAAAGTGTCTTAAGGGGGTTTCTCGTCAAAACGCGTAGCACTGTGAGATTCAACATGTCATAAAACCCCTGTGTACCAAATTTAGTGATTCTCATACAACATGGTTTTGAGATATAAAAAAGACTTCTTAGGGGCAGATTTCAGGGGGCTGTAACTCCGAAAGAGGGGGCCAGTTGGCAAAAAGAAAAAATACGGGTCCCCTGAATTTGTCTTAAGAATCTATGACCAAATTTTGTTGCATGAATTTCCGGACACCCTGTACAATACATTACACTTATTTTTAATATACATACCTACATAAAATTCAGTATTGTAGTACGAAAATTTTTTGTAGACTTCTATTATGAAAAAGTACCAAAATCGTATGTTTAAACTTTCCAGCCCGATATTTCGTAAATAAAAAAGTCCCCTGAAAAAAGTTTAAATTCTGAATATAAATGTGTGCTTGTTATAACGGAGCTATCCAAGAAATTTCGCAGGTACTTCAGTCAACATTAAATTTTGAGCAAATTTTTTTAATACTTATAAACATTTTCGTAAAATTACTGGTTGAATATCTGAATCTGAATAAATATTTATTATTATTTGAAAAACAAAATTTGTTATTACTTTTTCAAATTTAGATGTGGTACATATTTTGGAAACTTTTTCAGGCTGCACTAATGAATGTTGAAATAATAAGTAACTAAATATATTTTTATAATTTAAAGAAATGAAAAAACAGTTTCCGAAAATTCAAGTATCGTTTTAACCAACTCAATCTGACAAAAGTATCTACAATGGGATAAAACAAATTTTAGCAATGTTCGAAAAAAAAAATTAATTTCCGAAAATTGTTTATATTTCAAAAGTTACTCAGAATTTAGTAGCTTTTCATGTGGACAACCTTCAAAAGTTACCGTCATGGAAAAATGTATTTGGTTTGCTCTTGAAGTCATTTATAATGTATTTTACACAACACTATTTACAAGTCCTCTTTAGTTTTTGATATATCGGCCAGTGTAACACTCTGTATAGGATGTTATATTAAAAAAACGTACTTGCTTAAGCATTCTGATATAAAATACCTACAATATGATTGTGGGGGTCTTAATAATTCTTCTTGTTATATGTATACTTGTATATTTTAAATTAAATATGATTATCTTCTTAAAAGGTTTATTTTATAAAAATACAATCCAATGTTATATGGCTTTGTAAATGTAACATGTATTACTTAAAGATATATTTTTTGTTATTATTATTTTATTTACAACATTTCCTTAACTACCAAAATATCATACGCTGTTCTGATCTATTTCTTTGGGACTCTAGACGTAGATCTTGAAATTTAAGCAGTAAGGTGCCACTACACAATGATACTTGATGTCCCAAAATCTCTAGATGTAATAGTCCTACAAACGTAATAACTAACTTGCTCCATGCGAATAAGTTGTATATTTAGAAAATTTGTTCGTGTGGCTCGAGTCAGAACTTACGCATTTTCAACCAATCTATTAGAAAAACAATATTCAAAAAAACATCGTGAAAAAGGATTATGTCTTATAAATCACTTCTGTCAACCTCTTACGTTTATAAACAGGATATTTTCCTATACAGAGTAAGCATTTAAATCCGCACTAAACTAAATTTAATTTTATGATGCAATTATTATTTAACAATATTAATTAAATAAAATATAAATTTTATAATTTATATAATATATTATTAGCGTGTTATTTCGGTATTGTGCATGTATTTACTGAAATGAGATTCACCTTTTACAGCACTTCTCTTTTGAAAAAAAATGTGATAAGTGATGAAAGATTTTCCGTTTGTAATAATAAAAACATATTTTCTGAATGATTTTATAGGATATGCAACCACCAATACACCTTTAACGCTGTGAGGTATGTTTTTCAACTTTTAATAAAAATGATAGTGGTTACTATGACAGCGAGCAAACATTGTAAACAATAAATTTGCTTTAGTTAGGGAATAATTTTACATAAGTATGCCTATATCGGAAATTGAGGATGTGTTTGCAAAATACAGAAAACAAGAAGAAATTATCAATTCTAAGATAAACCAAACGTAAGTAAACATTTAGTTAGAGATACCTAGAATATTTTAACATTAGACGTTGGGTACTTACCAATTCGCTTGCGAATGTCAATGTAAGAAACGTCATTCATGAATACATTGGGCAAGCAGTATGTTAATAAATAATAATATTTCTCTGTGTGTACACACTTGGAGATGATATTTGAATTGATTAACAGAAACAATAGAATTGCAAATAGAATATACAGGTGTTTCAAATTCAAAACATATATCGCAAAATGAAGGGTGTGATTCTTTGCCTCATGCTAAGAAAAGTTCTTATTAACATGAGTCCGCAAGCGCACTGTATTCGAGATATAGGGTTCAAAGAAAAAATTGTTTTTCAGTATTTTGCAATATCTCAGGAATCGTTTGAAATACAGAATTCAAATTTTCTACACTTAGCAAATAATTAGTAAGACCTTTTTTATTAGAATGGACCAAAGAATCGCACCCTTCATTTTCCGACATATGATTTGAAACACACTGTATACATGATCTTACTAAAAGCACAGTAGGTATTACTGAGCTCAAAAGTCGGACAACCTGATGTACAATCACCAAGTAGCGTTCAATATTTATTTATCTTTAAAATTTTTTTAAGGAACAAAAAATTGTGTAACAAAATCGATTCTAATGTTTTTAGATGAGTTATGATTATGAATCATCTTGTACACACGATAATAGTTATGTATTACTTGCAAAAACGTATTTTTTAACATGAAATTTATAGAGGGTTACATGAACCATAGGTACCTAAAAAAAGTATGTAATGAATTAGCAGAAATAAGGTAGGTAAGTATAATTGGATATAAATATGCAGGGTGAGTCAAGTTTTTGTAGTCATAAGCATAGATTGTAGAACGTTTCTTTTTCAAGATGATGATGATTCATATTGATGAAAGTTGGGCTAATGATTTATCTAATAAGCGGCAAAAATTGACTAAGTTAGAACACAAACCTTTCAATCAGTGGCGGATATATTGGGAAATACTATCACTAACAATCCTAAACTTTCGACTTCACTGAACAATTTGAAAATTGGATAAGAGTATGTATAGTTGATTTGATAACTTAAAAAATAACAACTAACAACTAGAAGAACTATAAAATGTATCATGTTTAAATTTATCCAATAATGTAAATTTTTGCAATTATTGATAAGAATTAATATCTACTTAATGCTATTGATTAATAATAGCGTAACTATTTTACAAAAAAGTTTTCAATTAGGTACCTACTTTAAATGTTTCTAAATTCTTTTAAAAGTAAATCAATTGGATGATATTCGTTTCTACATACATACGTATTGTAATAGTATATTACGTAATAAGTGTTGTAAAAAGCATTTTACGTACGAATGGAAAAGTTACGCACGACGCCGCGTAGCGGCGAGTGCGTAATTCTATGAGTGCGTAATTGCATTACACCACGTATTACGTACTATACTTTACCTACGACCAATACTTTAAATACTTAAAAACATACCGTCTGCGATCAATGCAAGATTCCTATTACGTCGTACGGTAAAAAAATCGCACGGCTTGGTAAAAAAATCGTACAGTTTTCCTAGTAACCGCCTAGCAACGGTCAATACAAACAGTATTGTATTGGCCGTTGCTAGGCAGTTGCTAGGAAAACTGTGCGTTTTTTTTACCGTACGTAATAGGAATCTTACATTGATCGCAGACAGTGTGTTTTTAAGTACTTACAGTAGTGGTCGTAGGTAAACCATATAAATAATATTTAAGAGTAATAGATTTAGTCTGTTGAAATTTAACCATGGCAAGCTTATTGCTGGTTGCCTAAGTATATGTAAAAATAAAAATTACATGCTAAGATTGCGTACACCATGTTGAAAACACATTTTTTGAGAATACGAGGATGACTGCTCAAAATGGAACACAATGTTGAATGTGATACACTCGAATCAGTGTGATTGTAAGGGACAATTTTAACTACAGTAAACAATAATTAAATAAACATAATTTTTCGAACGATGCGAAAACAACAATACTTTAGTATGAATATCAGAATGAGACATATTTTTATGAAAATTACATCGAAAGTGGGTGTACCTTACACACGGTGCTAAGGTTTCGTCCAAATCCTTATATGTTCAGTCCTATAAAAAACATATAGCATCGATGGGAGAAGAAAAGTAATGGGAACTTTTTACCCCAATTTAATGATACTACTTAACAATGTGTTCAAAAATACTCAAACGTAAATTTAGAAAGTGCACGTTATCAACAAAAAATTAGTTTTGCCTGTGTCATTAATCTAACACATATTGCAATTTGCAATACACAGAGCTGAATTAATTGTATTGTACAGTACATTTTTGTCCTTTTGATTTTGAATGCCGAAGATAAGTACGCGGTACAAATTTTTGTCGTTATTGGACAAAATCATGATTAGCACGCGAGATTATCACGCCCTTCAAAAAATGCTGGAAAGAGTGTCCGTCTATACCTAGTTAATTACACCTCTAATATCAAACAAAAGCTATCATCATTCGCCAAGAGAGTCACCAGACAGCCGGTTTTGAACTTATTAGTTCTCGTCAATATGGCATATGTCATATGTCATACCTTAAATGTCTTTGTTACTCAATGCCTATTAAAACAAAGCATTACTTTGCACCTGTTAGCAAAAAATTTCTGCACCACGGAGTATTCTGCAATTTTAATCAATATTTTTCATTGTCAGTATTAAACGAGCGACGGGTTTTTAGAGTCAGACCTTTTATTTTAAAATAAGCTTACCACACTGTTAAGTAAATCGAAAATAGCACTAAAACTTTTCATTCTACAAACACGATTTATCGGAACCTTTTGTTAGAAATATGATTTTTAATCTCGTTGAGAATAAAATACTTAGTGTTCGACTTAAATAGATGTATAATATTTTATTTGTTTGTTCGTACAAGTTTCAAATATACTGAGCTGCTTATATAAGTACTTCAAAGCTTCTGCAGGGGGTTGCAATTACTTTAATAAGCATTTTCAGTCCAGATTTTTTCTTATTTTTGAACGTAGAATCTAGTGATCAAATTTGAAGACTGATTTGTTTTTGGTTTCCATATCGTTTTTTAGTGGAGGTAAAAATATATTATTTTATCAATATTTAATATTTTTACTACCTATTTTTCATAACAATAATTGTACAGTCTCTTTTCAATGTTGTCGCAATGACTATTATTTCCAGAGATGGCCGTCATGTGAGAACTGAGGACAATGGTCAAGTACTGCAAGATAAATTGTATTCAAAAAGTCTGGGTCAAGCCAAAGAGAGGAACAGGTTGATCTTAAAGGTAATGCAGTCGTAATTTATATTTAAATTACAACTGATGGCACGGTAGGAAGCAAGTCAAAAACGGTATGAACTTATAAGTGTAAGTACCACTCGAGGCGCAGCAAACTGCTCGAGTCTGAGGCCAAGGCTTTGGAGTGATATGCCAATCTGCTTTAAGGTATCTTATCACTAACTTGTAAAATGTAAAGTAAAGTTACGCTTCTTTCTTCATTTAACCTATTTTAAAATATGTCTTTTCTAAAAACAAATCTATTTTCGTAAATTCTGGTCATCAAAAAACGTCTGTATTTCTTCTTCAATAAACTCGAAATAACCATGCGCAGTATGTTCCACATTAATTCATTCGACACGTTTCTCAGTGATAAATAAAATTCGAATTTGTTACTTTAAGTGAACCTATTTGTGACGACAAAATCAATAAACGAACAGTGACAATTTAAAATATTTTTAATTTTATATAAATTTTATAATTTAGGTATAATTCTATATTGAAATTGTATTGTGTTTGTTTGTTTAATACGCAGAAATAAACAGAATAGTTGCGCGGTGAACGCCTTCTAAAAAAACATTGCCTTCGTTGAGCGCGACCATCAACCTCGGACCATACATAATGTTCATTAC